AGTAGAGGGTGAAAGAGAAAATTTGTACGCTCGAAAAAAAAAAAAAAAAAAAAAAGCAAAATGAAAGAGGGAACAGAAAAGTTTCACACAGATGCCCTCTCCAGCCAGCCTCTCCAGGTCACAGTGCTAAGAGACATTCCATCTGGGAGAGGGCTGCAGGTGGAGAGGGTGCTTGTGTGTGGAATACCCTTTGAGGTCACATTTCTACACCACTTAACTATGTTACCAGGGATAATTTCTGCACAACTGGTATTGCTTAAAAATATTTTAGCTTCTTGGTGGAATTCCCTCCTGACTCCCCCAAATGCCCTAAAACAGAGGGGTACTCACAGCTGGAGCAGCCTTTGTTCCTGAGTATGTCTTCTGGTGTGGTTCCAAAGACAAACCTCACATTCTGCAGCACCCCCTGTTGGCAGAGGACAGAGATTGCTTGTAGAATGTCAGGGGTGGGAAGAGGGTAGGGGACAGACTGTCCCTTTATGCTAGGAAAAGCAGACGCTATATGTTCTAAAAGCTTAGAAGAGCCCCATTTAAAGATCATCGTGTCAAAATAACACACCAACATACATTGCCAGACAACTTCAAAATCTTAGTTGTGTCTCTGCCAAGCCTTCAGTATTTTACAAAGAATTCAGTTATCCGCCTACAGTATACAGGAAATGGAATCCGATACCAAGCCCTGAGGATATGATGACACTTTCCAGTGTCAAAGAGTTAAATGTGGGTGTTCAAAGAAAAATCAACAAAACCTAGAAATAAAGGCAAGACAGAAGCTGCAGCAGCAAGTAGCCATGACTATAATCTTTTGAGACTGGTAGCATCCCTGTGAGGAGTCAGAGAGCAGAGTAGTATTGAGTCTCTCTACACAAAGTATCCATTTCAAGCAATATTAAGTTTGGTGGAATGCATTATAAATGGTACTTTTCTGAAGAACAGAAGGAGTATCTACAGCATGAACAAGTCCTTAAGGGAAAATCATTTCTTGTTTCCTTGAGTAGTTTTCAAAGTACGGCCCCCAGGCCAGCAATGAACATCAGCATCACCTGGTTCTTGTTAGAAATACAGATTCTCAGCCCCCACCCCTGACCTACTGACTCAGAAACTCTGGAGGCGGGTGTAGCAGTGTGCGTTTTCACAGCCCCTCCAGGTGATTCTGATGCTTTAAGTTTACAAGACAGTATTTCCTGTAGGATTCGTGGCAGGTCAAGTGGCTCGCAGACCACCCCATGGGCCAGGGCTAGGAGATGAGGCCTCACCTGGAAATTGTCATTGACGTCTCCTTTTGCGATGCGGAGTCTGGCGATGTTGGCCAGGTCCCTGGTGAAGATGCTTTGGATAGGGACATCCAGCTCAGCATTCTCCATCTTCTCACAGTCGATGTACAGCTGGGCCCTGTCTTCCTGCACGAACAGCGTGATGCTCTTCCACTGGCCGGTGGCCAAGAGAGCTTCTTCCACCGACACCACATGCTGCTTCCCCTGCACGGTCAGACTCAGGTCCAGGGTGGCCGCCTTGCCATTGGAGACCACGCTGAAGACCTGGCCGGAGTGGTCTTTCCGCTCCAGGGCCAGCAGTGTGCCTCGGGTCTTCTTCATCTGCCTCAGGGAAGCCAGGAAGAGGAAACCTTTCTCTGCACGCACAGCATCCACTAGGTCTTGGAACTTGTCATCAGGCACAGGGGGGATCAGGTTGGCATCCTCAATGCGAAATGCTGGGCTGGAAGTGTCCAGGCCCTTCACTAGTCGGCGACCAGAGCCTCTGCGGGCAGCCCCAATGAGCTCGAAAATGTCAAACACGCTGTTGTCTCCCCCGGACTCTGGCAGACAGGAGAGGACATAGTGAACTTTCTGGGCTGGAGGCCAAGGGTGGGGGGGCTTAGCTCTGTGGGGTAGGATCAGGGGGACAGGGTGAATACTCCTGGCAACCACTGAAAACTGAACACCATGATCAAAGGTAAGATTCATTGTGATGCTGGGTCAGGGCTCTGGAGAAACAGCTGGGAGGAGAGCCTGGGACGGGCACACCTGGGTAGACAGCCCCTCCTCATCATGCGTCCCCTGAAGGTTATCACACAGACTCACCTGGAATGCGGTTGGTGCCACACACATGCAGCAGGAGCAGGACTCCGAGAGCCCAGGCCAATCCCATGGTGGACCTGTTCTTGCCCAGCAGGGAGCCTGTAGCAAGAAGCAAAAGAGCTCAGGGTCAGAGACCTGCTAAGCAGGGAGGGTGGGTGAAGACTGGGGGCTGGGCATGGGGCCAAGGCCCTGACCACCACTCCAGACCCCACATTACTGGAATGAGGGACCGCAGGATTTACTTTCCAGGGGGCATGGCACAGAAAAGGAGGAGAGAGGGGACTGTGGCTTTCAGGTGTGTGTGGGGGGGCACAGGACTAACCACCCCAGGGCTCTCCTTGGGAGGTGGAGGGCCAACAGCAAGACCAGCAGATGCAGTTTAAGGGGGCAGGGAGAGCACGGGACAGTAGAGGGTTGATGGAGACCTAGCGAGGACCTGGACAATAAGGGGTGTCCCGACGGACTGGTTTGTGAACCCCAAGCCTGGAGAGGATGGCTCTGGAGCCTTCCCATGAAGAGTCCCCGGCGGCTGGGAGGGTCAGGATGGGAAGAGGGCAAGAATGGGATCCGCGTTCTCTGACCCGCTAAAGCCTTAGAGCTCGAGGTGGATGACCAGGGCAGCATTGTCCTCTTACCTGTGTGGACGCGTACCCAGCGGCGAGGGAGCAACGGCGGGCGCCTAGTCCTGGAGAGGCGCTGGGGCGGCTCGAGTCGGAGTTTTGCGCCCGGCTGGCTCGCAGGAGCCCCAACTTCTGGCCCGCTCCGGTGCAGTGGCTCTGACCCGCTAAAGCCTTAGAGCTCGAGGTGGATGACCAGGGCAGCATTGTCCTCTTACCTGTGTGGACGCGTACCCAGCGGCGAGGGAGCAACGGCGGGCGCCTAGTCCTGGAGAGGCGCTGGGGCGGCTCGAGTCGGAGTTTTGCGCCCGGCTGGCTCGCAGGAGCCCCAACTTCTGGCCCGCTCCGGTGCAGTGGCTGGACAGGCAGGGCTCGCAGAAACCCCAACTTCTGGCCCGCTCCGGTGCAGTGGCTGGACAGGCGGGGGGGCCCCGCGCTTTTAAAGGGGCGCTCACATTTCCTCTGGCCAATGGGTGGCGGCGGCGGAGGAAGCGGTAGAGGGGGGCAGTCTAGGTTCCTCCCTCCGCCCCTCGCTGCCTGGCGCGCAGCTTTCCAGCTAGAAAGTGAAGGGGGAGGCAGGAGCCGGGACACAGGAGCCCTGGAACTTCTCAGAAAAAAGGGTGCCCGCCCACGCCACCTTGGCGTATACGGGCTCGGCCCCTTGGCTCTTACGCCACCGGGACCAGCCACCAGACGTTGGCGACCACTCAAGACCCTTGAAAGGATTTGCAGACCAGGTCTCCTTGAATACCTGGGCGATGGCTAATGGCTGAGAGGTGGATGCTTGGAGACAACCCGTTTTCTTTTTCTCTTATTTAAAAAATAAAAATAAAGGCCCGCGGTAAATTGGACTCAGAGCACCAGTCGTTAAAGAAGTTGGCTCTTGGGTACTTGTCTATCCTCAAGCATTCATCCCTCCCGGTGGGGTGGGAGCCACGCGTCCTCTATACGCCCGGTCCCTGCACTCGCCCCACGCCTGCCCTCCGCCTGACCCGCTAAAAGAGGTGAGCGCTGCGTCTCCCCCGCCAGCAGGGCGGTGCAGAGCTCGCCTTCCCACTGCCGGTCGGGCACACTTTCCTGCCGGGCGGCCCAAGTCCGCGACAAAGTCGCTTCCCAATGGCTACAGAGTTTCCACGACTTGCCGCTTGGGGGCGGCATGCGTATTCTGATCAAAGGGGATCGTGGCTGGCGGCTTCTTTCTAGTGGGGAATTTTAGGGCAACTTACGCCTCTCGGGTTCCCTCAAGCTATAATTGAAATTGTGTCTTGAAAAACAGTTTTTGTGCCCACTCGTGCTTCTTAACGTGACTCCTGGTTGGAGAGTGTGCACAACCATCTGGCTTTAGGGCCTTAAACTGTTTACAGAACAGGCTTATAGAGTAATAAATTACTCTCTGCCTATTATTTTATTTCCCCTCTACCTCCCTAAACGTTCTTTTCATTTTTCGGCTCCTGAAACCGAGGTGTGGGTAACATTTCTGTGGGTGCACACGTTGCCATGAGCGCTGCTGCCGAATGCTTCTGTCATTGGAAGTCTGGTCTCCAAGTCGCTGTCCCAAGCCAGCATGACTCCAGCTGCCTGGAATTCCATTCATCTCTGGTTAGGGACGTCAGCAGCCAGCGCTTACCGGGTTGTGCTCCTGTAAACAGGCTGGCCCTGTGACCTGGGTGCAGGTAGAAGCTTCACCAAATAAGGATCTCAGGCCAGGCCAGGGGGAGCCCCTGGCGTTCATTCCCATGTTTACACTTGGGCCTGGCAGGCTTCCTGACTGCTGGGAACAGCCAGCAGCTTATAGTCATCCAACAGCGATTTCACTTTTCTTGTGTAGGAGTGTTGTGTGACCCTGCCTCTGTGTGTGTGTGTGTGTATTGTGGAATGAATGTTCTCTAGTTATTCAATATGTACGTCGAGTGCCTCTAGAAGATGACAAGTATGTTCCTAAGACACGCGTTTGTTTACTGGATTTCAGATATTAAGGGTCAGGAATAACTCTATTGGATGATTAGTCAATTCAGATTCTTGTGCTGGAAGTCATAGGCAATGAGTCACCAAACAGACCTGAAGATTCTGGAGTCAGCAGCCTTACATGTCATTCTCCTTCCGGTTCTTTTCTCAGCATCTAGTTTGTTCCTTGAGGAGTGATTTTTAAAAAATTTCCATTTTGTGGGGCCAGCAGGTGGCGTGGTGGTTAGGGCGCTGGACTCCCACATGGCTGACTGTGGTTTGAGTCCTGGACCTAGAGGCTTGTTTTCTCACTTTCTGTCACTGTCATGCTCTGGTGAGCACACATGTGTGCTTAATAGCCAAATTTAAATACAATAAATAAATAACTCAATTTTTCTCCATTTGTTAGACTAGTTCTTCATGATACTGGGGCTGTAGGGACAGTTCCTGGACAGATGGGCACCCATGGCCCCTAGCTCCTCTGGCCTACTTGGTAATTTCGTGCAGATTGGCAGGCCCTCAAACCAGGGTAATGCCTCTTCCTTGAATAAAAGGATCATCTCCCAGGACCAGCAGATGGCATAGTGGTTACATCGCTGGACTCCCACATAGTTAACTATAGTTCGAGTCCCAGACTTGGTGCCTTCAAACTCATGCTGGTGTGTGTGTGTGCTGCCCACCATCCTGGGAGGAGAACGGAGGAAAAGGGATTGTGGCGTGGCCATCCTCCCTGGGGCATGATTTCTCACGTTCTGACTCACTCGCTGGCAAGAGCAGGTACCCTATAGCAAAAATCTCTCTTAAAAAAAAAAATCATCTCCCCCTAGTCTTAGTAGCATGGAGTGAGTCGGAGATGCACTTGTTGGCTCTTCAGGCTGCAAACCTGTGGCAGAGGGATTGGAAGAATGCCTCTGGAGTTTTCTTAGAACTTGGTTTCCTTTCATGAAACAAGGAGAAGAATTTCAACCTTGCTCATGCTCCCAAATAGAAGGGGGTCCTACATGGTGGCAGGGAAGAGCTTTCTTTTCTGAGAAAGCTCTGATGGAAGTGTAGGATCTATTTACCAAGCACAGGGCCCTTCCTCGAGTCATGGTTCTCCTCCAGGTGTTCTGGATAGAAAGGAAGGTTCAGAGATGAAGGTGCATCCAGGCCCCTCTTGAGATCTCACCCTGCTGGTTAACTTGTGCTATCAGTATTTCCCAGAAACCTTAGACACCTCTGGGCAGCCTTGAGAAAAGCAAGAATGGAAAGAGGAAAAAGAAAATCTCCATCTTTAATGTGAGAGATAGCATCCCTTTTGAGTGTGTTCTTGACCTAGAGGAGCCACGTTTCAGGCCAATCATCTGACAGGAGCTCAAAAGACAAACCTGTCAGGGAGACGGCCCAGTTCTCTTTTTCCTGAGCTGTCGTACCGAGGACTAGTTAAAGTCGCAAGCACAGGCATTTTCACAGAAAGATTTCTTTTTTCCAGGTTCCCCTAATTGGAGGTGGAATTAGCCTGAATATATTACCAGTAAATAGGAGGAAAGGTCTGTCTGCAATAGTTACTTTAACAATTTCATGCGATTAAAGAAAGCAAGATCATTGAGGAAAACATTTTGTTTATCTAGCAAAGAACAGCAAGGTGGGCTGTGATTTTATGTAGGAATTTTTAAAATGTTGGCAATGCTAAGCTGTGGAAAATTTCTTAGAAATGAGCAGCAACCCCAAATCATTATATTCTAGAATAGTCCGAAATCATAGCATGCCCAGATTGAAGATATCAAAAAGTCATTCCCTCTAAATATTTTCCCTAGATCAGGCTTTAAAATGGTTTCACTTTAGTTACCTCAGTGGTCAAAGCATGAAGGAAGTTCTAACAGATTTTTCTTATCCTTCAATCAAATACCAATTCATGCTCCCCCTCCTCCATGAGATGTTTTCTGGCAGCTCTGTTATGTCCCTTCTTTCTGTGAATTTTGAAAGCATGCATTATCTTCACCATGTAGCTTATCACCTTATATGCTTTTTTATTTAGTTTTTTTTTTTCTTAAGAGAGATTTTTGCTATAGGGGGTGTGTACTTGCTGGAGACACAGAGAGAGATAGAGAGAGAAAAGTGAGATATCACCCTTGGGGGGATGGCTATGATGCAGTCTTTTCTCATCCATTCTCTTCTTGCAATTCTGGGCACACATATACGTTCGTCCAGCGTCAGTTTCGAGCCACCGGGTCTGGGACTCAAACAGCTGTCTGCCATGTGGGAGTTCAGTGCCTTAACCACTATGCTACCTGGTGGCCCCATTATTTAGTTTTTTAAAAGTACCTTTTTAAAATTATTAAGTGTAAGGACCAAATTTTAAGTACCCCCAAATTTGGGCTTGGGAGGAGCCCTTTTGTTTGAATTTCTAAATTCTGTATGCTGGTCAGTTTACGGTGCAGAAGGACTGGCCCACCCTGCATTTTCCTAACCAGTTATCGCTTTTCATGCGGTTATGCCTTAGATCTGGGGTCGCATCTGATTGACTTCCAAAATGTTGTACTCCTTCATGCAGAATGAAGCAGATCTTAGGGAACTGATCCCAGCGGCAAGAGGTAGGATTATTAGCTTATGGTATTCTTTCCTTCCTCTCTCCAGTGACTGTTTGGAAATTGGCATGTCACCCAATTCTGGCCAATCAGAGGTTTGCCAAAGGCCCCTGGGGACAGTTCTTTGTCGGTTTTAAGAAAGAGCCATGTGAGATCAGGTTCTCTGTCTCTTCTGGACACAGATAAGAATGCTGGTAAGTGTTTGGTGCCGTTGACTACTAGGGGAGCTAACTAGTGTGAAATCGGTGTTGGAGAGGGAAGAGCAGAGACAGAGCATGTATGCCCGATCACAGTTTTGAGCCACCACATCTACCAACACTACTGTCCTACCTCCGGATTTCTTTGGCCATGTGCTTCTTATGTAAGCTGGTTGTTTTCTATCACTTAGAGCCACAGATACCATAACTGATAGTGGCTCTTTTTGCTTGTCAGGATTGTCTTTTCCCCTCAAACGTTGCTTGAAATTCTTATTTCCTTTAGAATAAAAGAACTAAAGGACACACCGTAGAATAAAAACATTTGCAAGGTTCTTCCTCTACACTATTAAAATGCTTTCTGGAAAAGTTGCACTATTGACTCTTCTCCCCGTGGTGCGACAGGGCCTTTCCTGTCCCTTTGTGCTCAGGCCACTCTAATCCAAACACTATTTACTGCTGACCAGGAAAGGGAATGTGATTTCTGACTTAACCATGTCTCATGTCCCTCTTAGGAACACTTCGAGATGCAGTCCAGGGGGGGTCCCAAAGGAAGGGATATCCAGGATGAGCTAATCTTGAGCAAAGGAGCTGGAAGGTTGACTTGCTAGGAAATCAAGGATATGGGGGCAAGAAGACAAGGGAGATTTTAACT